ACTCGGACCAATGGAATGCAAAAGGATGCACACAAAAAATCTGTTAGGCAGTACACACATTATATTTTAAATACTGTTTTAATAACAAAGACTATTTTAAATGATGTTATATGCATCTAAGTATTCTGTGAGTCTTAGACACCCACATAATATGTCTTGCAATCCTGCCTACCAAAGTAAGGTGTACAGAACTATGAAACATTTATTGCTTGGAAGACCGAGCTCTCACAGAATTTTGAGCTGATTTTGGATTGAATTAACAAAAGTAAACTGCAAAAAATTATTTGATCATATTAATTTCTTTTATCATCCTTAAGATAAATTTTCCTCAAATGTGTCTTTCTTGATATTTCCATTACAGTGTGATTATTGCCTACATGATAACTAAGTCACAGAAAACAGATCTATGCTCTAACCTCTTGGTGTCTTCTTCCTAGTCATTCTCTTCAAAATCAGTTGTCTCCCACTGATATTAATACCAGGAACCAAATATTGGTAGAAAAACAAAGCCATGTTTCTTCCTTATCAGATAGGTGGAAAGGAAATGGGAACAAGTCTCCCAGGGATTTTGTACAATACCAAGAATTGACCATTTCTAGTCAAGAAATAAAACTCCATTTGTTTAGAGGGTTTTTTTTTGTGTGAAAGGGATTATATTAGCATGCATCTTGATAAGATCTGGTCCCTTGGAAGAAGAAACATTCATTAAATGGCATTCTACAATGAACATTCTTTAGTATCAAATTCTGCTCATTTCTAATTTAATAATAAGCACTTATTGTGTACTTTCTTGGCAGAATCTATTTGTGAAATAAGAGATGTGTTTCTTTGGATAAATCTTCTCTTAATAGCCAGACATGAGAAGGAGAATCAAACTGGAAGTTCTCTTTGTAAGATAGATGAGTTACAATTTCTAGGGCCATTATATCATTATTTTTCTAGAAAGGATAATATTGTTTTCAGAAAGTCAATGTACATAGTCCAACTTCTTCATTTTAAATTTACTGCATTGAGGCCCTATCAACTAGACCAGTGTTTCTCATGCCCCTACCCCTATGGAATTCTAGCCTCAGCATATGTAGGGTAATACGGCTGAATTATATGGTAGCGGATCCACAATTATTTTCAATGCATGTTTGGCAAACGCCCAAAAAAAGAGGGCAGGGTGATGATGATCACATAAGAGACAAGCAAATTTCCATTTTTTTCAACCATCAAGTTCTGAAGCCTCCCAGTGTAATGGAAAAGGCAGCATGATTTCTTCCCCCTACATGTTAACAGAATGATTTTTCCAGATACTATTATTTAAAATTTATTATAACTACCCACCCTAGGCAGCTTACAAATACAAAAAACATTAAAAAGGTTAAAAACACAACACCACCCAGGTAGCCTGGACTAAACCGGTGCAATAACAAGCCAGTCCAGGTTCCATACAAATACATCAGTCTCAGTCTTGAAACCAAAGCCAGATCTTAAGAGCTTGTTTGGAACTCCAGGTCACTGTCTATCCCTGTGGTGGGATCTTGTCCAGAGGACAGTGACAGAGAAGACATGCTTCCTTGGTCCTGTAAGATGACAATATTTAATAGAGGGAACCTGGAGCACACCCATTCTGCTGGAACATACCTGGCCGATAGAAAAAACTGCAGATAGGCAGTCTCTCAGATAAGCAGGCACTATGCCATGAAAGTAATGACAGACAACTTACACTGAACCCAACTGGTCATCAATGCAGTTCGCATAGCAGTAATCACACATATCAAGAAGCACTTGTTACTGCTTGTGACATTACATTTTGTACTGGTTGTAGCTTCTGGATGCTCTTCAAAGGCATTCCCACATTCAGCACATTGCAACCATCCAATAATGAAGTGACCAGGACCTGAGTAACTATCTGAAGGGCCTCCTGGTCAAGGAAGGGGCATAACTGGTACACAAAATCAACCTTTGCAAAGGGCCTCCCAGCCATAGATGCAATAGCTGCAAGTCCAGAAGGATACCCAAGCTATGCACCAGTCTGGAATGGGAAGTATAACCCCATCCAAGACCAATAATGGAAATGTCCCTGACCCGAGGGGATGGCGGGGGGGGGTGGGTGGGGACGACATACAGGCACAGCCATTCAGTCTTGTTAGGACTGAGTTGAAGTATGTTCTGCCCCTTGCACCTGAACAGCTTCCAGACATTGGGTCAGCACATTGATACCTTCACCTAGGCAGCCTAGTGTTGAAATATACAGTTGAATATCATCAGCATGCTAATGATTCTGAACAATTGATGATCTGGTTTCATGAAGATGTCAAAAACAGGAGAAAGAAGAGAGCTTTGAGCCTTGAATGAATGAATGCAAATGAATGACTTCTCTCTACCAAAGACAAAGATGCCATTCGTCTCAGATAATTCAAGGAATAATGAAACCAGATCTGACCAATAATATAATAAGGCCTAGAATCCTTGACATGCCATATACTTATCCTTGAATTATCCAAAAAGTGGCCTTGACTGGACTTGAAAAATCTACAAGTAACATCTCTCCAAATTTCAGTGTATTTCCATTGAAAGAGAATATTAGTTGAAGGCCTCCAAAAACATTAGACTCCTTAGATTCCTCATTTGTCTATTATTTTGTTATCTCTTTTACAGTTAGATGCTGTAACAGATATATACAATTTGTATAATAAAGCTGCTTGCTCTCTTTTTCATAACCAGAGCAAGCCGCTTTATCACACAAATTGTTTATACAAATGAAACTATAATTACGCTAGTTACGACTACTACATTTTACAATACTTCCAAATAGCTGTGCCATCATTTCAGGCACCGGAAGACTTTCTTTTCTTTGCCTCCATTATTCACACAAGCACAATGCTTTTCTTTAGCAGCAGCTTATCATTTATCAAACTCCTGATCTGACTCCTTGATGGAGGATGGAAGCTAATGAACCTTCTCAACTCAGTTTTTTGCACTTCTAGTGGCCATGTGAATTCTTATAATGCAGCTAGAACATATATCAATCATGAGTTCAGAGAGCACCCATCTCACATATTCTGAGCAGATATATTGGAGAAGAATACTTAGTAGTCCTGCAGGGATTATTGCATTCAGCTGTTTTCAAGTCTCTTTCTTTGCCTAATGTTTAAGAATTTGATGTCAGTATAATACGGTATTCTATGCAGAAATCATGCCCAATTCTCAGTTATTTTCCAAAAATACCTAGAAGAAACTGAACATTTTCAAACCATATTAACAATTTCCACAGTGCAGCCTTTCTTTTGTTTTGGGCGCAATAAATTCAGAAATCCAAACTACTTCTTTTCATTACTAAGCTGTAAAGGAGCCTTCTTGAGCTTTACTTTTATATCCCTTAGCTTGCTGCTCCAATAATCCCACAGGCAGCATGACCAAATGGGGATTATAGCTCAAGAGAAGTGATGCCTATCTGCATCTATACATTGATTCACCTATTTATCAATTTATTAGAGCATTCCCTACCCTTAGTAATTCCCAACAGTATGGCTAATTCTGATTCAGTAGATGCATTCCTCAGATGAGAGGACCACTCAACATAGGAGCTTGTCTTGCAAGCATCTTCCCTTGGACAACAAGTCTTGCCATTTTCTTGGCAGTTTCTATTCATAATTATTAATTGGATTTGGACTGCTGTATTGGAATACCTGAAAACATTTATATAGCAAAAATGGAAGATAATGTTACATCCAAGAAATTAAGGCAATCTGAACAGAGAGAGAAGAAAAATGCCTGTTAACTTTTCTCTCTTACACAGACCATCTTTCAAAACAGAAGTTTCTATTTCATATTTTTGGGATGGGCCACGTGTGATTCTCCAGATATTTGTTGAGCTGCAACTTTGACCATCCCCATAATTCATTTATAGTAGCTAGAGTGATGTAATGAAAGGGAACAAACCGTGATGTGGCTTGATTAGATATATGGGGCTCAAACTTATTTTGAGGCCTATGTTGCAAAAATAATCTAATAGAAAAGGGGAGACAGTTAACTATGAATACAGAGAGCAAAACATTGAACTGAAAGGCTCTTCCAGATCTGGACAGCCTCCTTAATTTGAGATTATACCACACATTTATAACTCAGAAGACATAATCTTGATGTTTGATGCATAATTATACATGTCGCTGGATGAAGAAAGTACAGAGCCATCGAGAAAGAGAATGCAAAATCTCCCCTCCCATCTTCAGTTACTATAGCAAATGAGTCTTACAAGTGTGGGAAAAGTACAAATTTATACATTCTCCCAATCTAGTATCACTTCTACAAAGAATTTAAAAAAATGTCTATAACTGTTAGAGAAATTTATCTTAGAATTATAGATTTGGCTGATATATTACGCTAACCCATAATGTGGTTTACTTCATTTACCTACACTCTGTTGTATCCAGCCACTGTAATTTGCAGACCATGGTTTATTGCTCAGTGGCTTGTTATGGCTTGCTGCCACTTCCTCTGCCCTGAGTAGCTTGACAAGTGGCAGCCATAAATTGAATAACTAAATAAAAAAAAGCACAGAGATGATATGGAATGGGGCATTTTCTAAACTATCATGGGAACCCCTAAACTTAATCAATCCCTTTAAAAGATTTATATAGCTTTATATAAAATGTTACAAAATGTTACATAAAGTATAACATTTATATATGATAAATGAAAGCTGTCCAGCTCTAGCACCAACACACACCTCTCCATGGTGAAGCTGCCGGAAATGATCAGAAGTTCTGTTGGTTTGGCATCTTAAGTCCATCATGCTTACCTTGCACTCCAGAAGAGAATCTTCGTTTATGTTTGATACATACCTGAACAAGCTTTTCCTACCTTACACACCCACCTCCCTCACCTTCTCCACTTAGGGATTCACCCCCTTCCCTCGGATGCCGTTGGTTCTTCCCTGAACCTACTCCGATGTGCTCGTCCGACCCCGACCTCCCCCCCACCAAATATCCCGTCTCCATCTTCCTGCATACCTTGTACACCTTGCCGAAGGCGCCGTCGCCCAGCTCTCCGACGATCTCCCACACGTCGTTGGGATCCAAGTCCCGGCGCACGTGCTCGTATTCTTTGGATCGCCGCTTCTCAAAGTTAGAGAGGCGCAAGATGCGCCGGAAATTAGCGAAGGCCATGGCAGCGCCCGGAGTTGAGCTTCGAGATTCTCACCATCGACGTGTCAAAGGAGAAACAAACGGGGGAAAAAAGAAAAGAAAAGAAAAAGAAACGACTCCGGAGAAGGCGAACCACCGGGCAGGCTGGAAGGGGCTAATCTTTATCGAAGCCTAACTTCCGAGGAAAGCAGCCGAGCCAGTTCCGCCCCGGTGGGTGCTTTTTATACGGGACTTCGGCTGAAGAGAAAAGCCCAAAGGATGCTTCTCCCTGCCGGTTCCTCCGCCGAACGTGGGGGCGCCCCCCGCTCGCCGGGCTATCTCAGGGCGGAGGAAGTGGCTCCAATTGCAACCGGCCAGCGGGCGAAAGGAGCGCTCCGGCGAGGTGGAGTGGCCAAAGAGCGACCCAGCCAGCCGAGTCCTTAAAAGACTTTCGGGAGAGGCGCTTCACCTGCTAAGTCGGACGGGGGCCAACACCTCCGGCCTCGCTGGCCGGCCCCGCCCCTCTCCGCCGGGACACTTTCCAGTTCCTGAGGCTCCGCCCCAGCACGCGTTCAGCTGAGTTGCTCCCTCGCGCGGGTCGCGTCAGAGCTGGGTTGAGCCCGCCCCGGGTCCTCCTGCGCGGCCCGCCTTTCCGCGACCCCCTACCACAGCCATGGCCCGTTCCTCCTCCTCTTCTTCTTCTTCAAGAAAGGAGGGGGGCGGTTGGAGACTTTGCAGCCCCCGGCCTCGTTAAATTTGGCGGGACAAAACCGTAGTCAGATGAACGGGGACCGCCGAATACCTCTTCCGCGTCCGAGTGGCTTTCCTTCCCAATAGAGCTGCTGAAGAATCCGGGGGGGAAGGATTTGAAGGTCCTAATATTAAAGAGCCGTTGCTTTGCCCTTGGGAGAGGCGAAGGGGGTGTGGGGGGGAAGGAAGGGAAATTAATCATGCTTCTGAATGAGATTTTTTTCTGAAAATTGTCAGGCTGAGTTGGGATAGAGATTGGGTGAGTAAGACACAATTTCCTGAATGGCTCAGAGAAAACGAGGGTTGGCTAGGATAGCCCAAGCGCTTTAAATAACAGTAGGTTGGAAATGCCTGTCAGTAAGTATTGTAAAAAAAAAGAAAAAAGAGTAGTAGGTGCTCTCCAGTTTTCCTACATTGGCCACACAAAACTGGAGCACAAGCTGGGTTTTGTATAACTTGCAAGTTATACAAACCCAGTTTGTGGTCCAATTTTCTGTGGCTAATGTAGGAAACTGGATCAAGCAAACCTGAGTAAGCTTCAGCATGATATTGACAAGTGGCAGGTTACACACACTTAGTTCAGAATAGTTTTTAAACAGACATGGTTCATCCCTAAAGTTAAGTCATGATGTAGCTTGCTACCTATTTGTATTAATGCAATGTATGGCTACAGGTATCCTCAGCTTATGGCCACAATTGAGCCCAAAATTTCTGTCGCTAAGTGAGTCACTTAAGTGAATTTTATCCCACTTTGCGACCTTTCTTGCCACAGTTATTAAGTGAATCATTGCAGGTTTTAAGTTAATGACGTGGTTGTTAAGTGAATCTGGCTTCCTCATTGACTTTGCTTGTCAGAAGGTCACAAAAGAGGACCCTAGGATACTGCAACTGTCATAAGTATGAATCAGCTGCCAAGCTTCTGAATTTTGATCACATGACTCTGGGGATGCTGCAGCGGTTGTAAGTGTGAAACCTGGTCGTAAATCACTTTTTTCAATGCTGTTGTAACTTTGAATGGTCGTTAAACAAACTGTTGTAAGATGAGGACTACACGTGCTTTTTTGGAAGTGTGCTGCATTTTAAACTTTTCAAACTTGGAATAAAATTGTAATAAGTGGGATAACTTCTTAATTGGCCAGTAATCCCATTATTGTGCTGACAAAACTGTAATAAGGATGGATTTTATGTCCCCTTAATTGATAATTAGCAACCTCTAGAATTTACAGCATCTTTTCTGCTCCTTTTTATTATAGTATATTGCTTTAAGTTTTGATACATTATATTGCTTCAATACAAGGATGTATAATATTAATATTTTTAATTTTGTTTAGTTATTGTAATTGTTTATTTCTCTAACTTAAGCAAAATAATAAAGCGAAAAAACACTTTCTGATTACTGATTACTACATTTTGTTATTACTTAATTGTGTGTGCATCTATGTATGTGTATGCTACTGTAGTTAATAAAAGGGCAAAATAGATAAGCAATACAGATTTAGCAAGAATTAAATACCAAAAATAAAAAGGGGAAAGAACAATTTAGGATTTTTTCAAAAAAGTATTTGCTGATTTGCACTATTGCAGGCATTTAAATTCTCTTACAACTCTCACTGTAAGTAATATGCTTGCATACCCTGCTGTATGATGTTATATACAGCAGTGGCCCCCAACCTTTTTTGTACCACGGCCTGGTACCGGCATCACAAAATGATCTACGGACCGGTACCGGCATCAGCACGCATGACTAAGGCACGGCGAGCCGAGCGACCGGCCAGCCAGCCGCTTCTCCCCGCCACCTTCAACTCCTCCTTTGTACCTTTTTTGTGCTTTTCGGGCTCTTTCTTAATCTCCTCCTGAGTAACGCGAGACTCCACCGCCCTTGGGACGGCTCTTCGTTCGAAGCTGCCCCCCCCTTCGACGAAACTAAAGCGCGAGGATTCCTTCAGCACCCAAACGCCGCTTTCCAACAACCGCCGACCGACAAGCTCACCCGGAAGCACTTTCTCAAGCGCCGTCGAAACAAGATGGCGGCGCCCAAGCAAACCGGCGGCCCGGTACAAAATGATCCACGGACCGGTACCGATCCGGGGCCCGGTGGTTGGGGACCACTGATATACAGTATGGGAACCATTCTTAAATTTGGTTGAACTTCTATTATGTATATATACTGTTGCTTTTGTCTTTGCTGCATATGTTCCAAGTTTTTAAGTTTCCAGTCAGATGCTGTCAGGAGCATGTTGATAGCATTATCCAGCCAATTATTGAGAGAAAGTGAGAGAAAACAATGGCACAATGAAGGTTAGATGACACTGGAAGTTGCTCTGAATGGCTGGTATGGAAATGCTCCTAAGTGGACCACTAGAAAAGAAATGTCCAGTGTCATCCAAGTCCACACAATCCCAGTGCAGCAGAAAGGTTAAATACTCAAGGACTCTGTGTAGCCAGTTTTGGTTGCTGCTGAACTTCTCATCCAAAAAACCTTCCCTGACCCTATTATTGTTATATCTTTTGCTTCATTTCATACCCAGTTTATAGTCACAGTAAGATTAGATTGACTCATTTGGGCAAGCTCAGCCAAAGTGGTTTAGCTATTGTGTGAACCCAGGATTCTATGTTAATTTACTGTATCTAATCTATAGTATATGCTGTGAGAACATAATCTAAATCTTTGTTATTCCAATGTGTCGGTTTACAGTGCCCATTATGACATCAGGAACTCATACAGACTTGTGGTATTGTTGCTTCCATTGATTTAGCAGCTTTGAGAATAAGATTTATAAACTTAGTTGCAGAACATAGGATAGACAATGCTGCATTTATATCATAGGACAGATTGTGTGAGTGGAGCGCAGCATGTAGTCAACCAGTATAAGATAAGATAGATAAGATAACTGTCATTTTTTTACTGCAAGCACACCAGCCCACCTTAAAAATGAATTTCTGTTGCCTGCTCTCAAGAGAAAGTGTATATCTATCCAAACGCATACATAAAACACACATACACATGCTATATACATACACAAATATATACCTGCACCATACATATACTTTTAAAACAATGGGGCCAAAATGTAACCTCTTTATCTTGCCTGTTCTAAAAAAAATGATGAAGGTGGCCCTTGCAAGGCACTCATTTCATCCCTTAAAAATACCCCATCTTTCCCCTCACTCACTTTTAGTAAATAGACTCTGACATTGTGCAGAAAGCCAAGCCTTCAAATTAACTGCTGCATTATATTTCTTCTACAAATGGGCAAAGTTATGTCCAGATGTTTGGGCCTCAATTCCTATAAATCTATCCAGCATGGCTAGTAATTACATAAGGGAGGTTAGCAAAGTTATCTACATAGTAGATATATTCTAAGTACCTATATGATTTGGGAGGGTCCTGTATTTGGAGCAGACCACGTCTTCAACATGTCTTCAGAGTTCCGAAGCTCATAAGATCTTTGTGTTCTTTCTTGAATATTAACATCTTGTGAGCTTTGGCACTCTCATTCTGTGAGACGCCTGCCTTGTGGAAACTGCACCCCCCCCCCACAAAAAAATTCTGTTTTGTCTTTCTGCCTGAATTTGGCAAAATTTGGGAGAAGACAGTCAAATTTGTTTATCTCGCAAGATTTTTAGTATTTTAAAAAATATTTTTAATTTCATTTTTAATCTTGCATCCAAATTTATCCATTGAAATGTTTTAGTTATTTTTTTAAATAAGAAATGTTGACGAATATAATCTAGTAGAGACATCTAGAGGAACTATGTGGAATTTCAGAGCTCGCTTACGTATGGTAGATGAAAAACAGGAAAATAACAATCTTGTAACATCCTAATGATTCTTATTGTACAATAGTATAGTAGAAAAATAGCAAAATTTAATAAGTAATCTGCAATAAGAAGATTTGTAATAGAATTTTAGTCGTAAATTTCCTTACTTTTCAGCAATAAAAGTCTGAAAACCGGACATAATATACATATGAATGTTTGAGAAAGGGGAAGAGTGGCATTGTCTGGAATTCTTGCCAGCTGGGAAATACTGGGAATTAAAGTCCACACATCTTAAAGTTGTCAAATTTAAAAAATGCTGGTTTAGCAGAATGCAAATGGTAAGTCCTTGTTAGTTTCTCAAGATACTCTTGGCTCCCAATTTACCTGGCTATTTTTTTCTGGTTAGGAAGCGTACTTCCAAATAAATCCCATCCAATTTATCCTTAGAAGGCCCTATGATAATGAGATTTAGAAGCCATTTGTTTATATAAAGATGATAGTATTGACAATTTTCATAAGGATGTATTTGGTCCTCTTGAAGAACTGTTTAAATGTTACATGAGGAAGGGAGTGTAACAGGCGCCATTAAAGTGTCTGCAATACCATTGCACTGGTGCCTACTGCTCTTGTAGGGAAACTAAAAGAATTAGATTGATGTTTAATCTAGCCGATAACTTCAAATAGATAGTTAAACACAAAACAGAAATGTTTCTTATCCATCCTTGTTCTCTGGGTGCAAAACTTTTATAAACAGCACAAAAGTCTTTTTTTGTCATCATGTTCTAATTCCAGGGTGGAATTCTGGGATTGTAGTGTTGACATCACCATGGTCAATTCCAGAATTCCAAATATAAACATAATTCTTCTATGGCAAAATGAGGCTGAAGCCAAAAAGCTTCTTTCATTTTCTGTGCTTAGATAAAATATATTGCTTATTATCTGTCAGAAATGCCAGAGCTCTGACATCTTATTTTCATCTACTTGATGTTC